TTTTAAAAATGCAGCGAACTTACTACTATTGAGATTATTCTCTAATAGAAACCCAGTTGTGAGTGAAACAACCAATTTTGGCTTAAAAAAATTTAATCTTTTGTAGACCATTGAATGATATAAAAATGTAAAATGGTTATCTCATGCAACGCGTTTATGGTAGTTTTTTGAAACTTCTGCAAATTAAATAATCTAAATTGTCTCTATATTAAAAATGTTATTTATCAATTGAAAATTATAAAAAAAAAATAATAAGTAACAAAATATCTTACAGGGTCTATATGATAAAATCTCTTTGTTACTCTCATCAGTATACAGTGCTATTCAAAAGTCCCCTATCCCCTTGCATATTTTAATCAGATATGATGAAATTTGGAGGGTGAAAATAACCAGTTGTAAGCTTCTTTTTTAGTTGTAATAGGTGACATAATATAGACATAGAATAACTTTAAATAGGCTATGGCAAGTGATACCTCGTTTGAAAGGTATTTAAAATACCTATTCATTCATACCGTAAAGCGGGGTTATTCTGGACTTTTTTCGGACCTTTTTGGATGTACCATAAAAAGCGACCAAGAATAAATAAGTTTCATATCGAGTTTTAATAGGTCTACATACAAGCTAATATTACCATGATAAAAAATATGACCCCCTTTTATAGGGGGTCCTAAAAAAATGTTTGAAGGTCTGTCCAAAATAACCCCATAGAGCTGGGATATTTTGGAATTGGCAAAAATAACCACAGAATATGAAGTTAAACAGCTCAAGGGGCTTTTTTGGATATAAAAAAAAATATATCTATCTGAGTATTTTTTCATTTAGGGATGAAAAAACTACTAAAAAAACACAAAATATTAGTTTTATTGATTTTATTACAAAAAAATCGAGATCATTTAAGAAATATAAGTACAAATTCTAAAAAACAACGTAAATTTAAATTGAATTTGGTTTCTTCAGCCTTTTAGCATAATTCGGCACTCAACCAGGAAGTACCTGCGTAGTAAATATAGGATATTATTGGCAATTATAAGATTATAAATTCTCATTAAATTTAAAAAATACTCTTCTTCCTGTGCCCTTTATTTTTGGACTTTGGAGTATTTTTTTCATGTTCTTCAAGAACATCGTCTATATCTTTTACATCTGGAGTTAGGAATCGTTCTGTCTTAGAGGATTTTTTTAAAAAATTTACCGTGTATGAGCCCTCTGAATTGGTTTTTGAAATTGAAACTACTTTACCAACGAAGTAGCATGATACATTTTTTCTTTTATATTCTACCAATACCCAGTCATTTACAATCGGTTTATTAAGTTCAATCGAAGAATTTGCAGGTGGCATGTTTTCTTTGAAGTGTATCAATGGCATATCATCATCACTGCTACTGCTATTTGGTTTGATCCCAGGATTTCGATAATGTTGGCAAGTCATCGAAACACTCGGGGCTATCGCCTCCTTCATTGGGTTCATATGGTACATCAGATTCGTCCGAAGAAGACGATGATGGTATCGCTGATTTCTTTTTTTTTAAGTTTCAATTTTTTAGCAACTGTTTTTTTGGATTCGCACTGGTTGAAGCAACAACATCAGTGGCTGACACACTCTTTCCAGGCTCTACTGAAACTCTCTTGCGTCTCTGTTTTTGTTGTGATGGTGTTTCTGTACTATGACGCATTTCTTTCAAAATGTCAACCACAGCAGTAGAAACATTATGTGTACCTTCGGCGTCTGCTGCTTCAGGTTCAGGGGGAAGTCGTTGCTTTGGCTCGGCAGGATCGAATGGATGTAGACCAATTTTATGGAAACCCGAGATGAAATTTTCGGAGGCCTATCCATTTTCATCCAATTTTTGACGAATATTATTTTGTAGCTGCGGAAATACATCTTTTGATAACGTAGATATTTTACGTCCTCCTGTTTTCTTCCATTCGGTAAGTATCGCTCGCCAATACTTCTTTAGAGGAGCGTAGAATGCCACATCAAGGGGTTGCATCAGATGAGTTGAGTTAGGAGGTAGGCAGATAAAAGATATGTTAATTTCTTGACATGTTTGTAATACTTTCTGTGAACAATGTGAGGATAGGTTGTCGCCAACTGAAATCTGCAATAAAAAATGGGGATTATTATTAAAATAGCAAAATCTTGAATCCCTAGATTATAAACAAAACTTAGCTCCATCCTATTTTCTTAAAAAGGGACAACAATGCTATAAAACCAATCCTCAAAGCAGACTGCATCAAACCAGCCACTTCGAGACCGATTGTAACGCGCTCCTGCAGGTCCACCGTGAGTCTAACTATCCCACATATGATCTGCCTTGTAGACTACTTATTCAGGCAAAAGTTGTCCATCTGCAGTTCCAGCATACATTATGCTTATGGAAGTCTTCGTGGAGATGACTACCTTTTCAGGGTACTTGGTGCCTCTCTTGAATATAATTTTTTTACCCCTGGGTTGTCAGTCAGGTTGGTATCGTCGAAATGTATTATTAGAGACGGGTGTGTGGTATTAAATATATCTCGGGCATTGTCAAAGAAAATGTCCAAATTTTGCCTATTTACCATCGCACGTTTGGTAGAGATATTCGCAAAAGTTTGAAGCCCAATCTCGACCGGGTAGATTATTATTAAGTCTCCGTCCATTGCGGCCTTTTCTATCAAGATAAGACTTGATTAATATCCTCAAGTCAGTAATGTCAAACGAAAAGTCCCAGGAAGCAACCACGTTCAGATGTTCAACCAGCACTTTTTCTTCGTCGCTTGTTAAAATGCAAGGCCTTCCTGCTGTAGAAAAAGTGCCTTTTGTCTTAGCTCGTGAAGCTAGGGTAGACTTAGGCACCCTATATTTTTTAGAAGCCTTATCAAGGCTCAGACTATTATACTGAATATCACGTATGGCGTTTTGGAAGGCTTTTTCCGTACAGTTTTTGTATGGGGTATAGTATATACCATTTCGTGAATGGGTTAAAGTTTTTACGTAAGTGCGAACCATTTTTATTTTAGGGACCAGAAGAGATTTTTAGCCTAAAAAAGCAAATTCTTTGGTTATTTTAGAAAATAAGGCTATTTTGGAAACGCGGGGCTATTTTGGAAGATTAAAAAATATCTCGTCCAAAATTGCCCCGCTCACCGAAAAACCCCATAGTTTTTTTAATTATATATTGTGCTTAAAATACGTATTATTTCTGAGTAACAACACCCACACAAACTTTTTTGCAAAGCCATAGCTGCATTCACTCATTTTTACTAGTAGCAGTAGTGAAAGTTTGACCATATTTATTTTCTTGCAAAAAAACGCATATGGTTTGCCGGCGCCTAGAGCTACTAAACTTACCTCTACTAGCCTGCAACAAGTACTGACTGGCTTTTCGCGGTCTTCTCTGAGAACTCTCCAACTTTCGTTGTCGTCGCTCGCCATGATTTCACATCGTTGTCAGATTGAATAAGAAAAACACAATTTCCAAAATTACCCCGCATTTCTAAAATAACCCCGCTATACGGTAACTAAATTTGTTTGGATTTAGGGTAATTTTTATGGATAAACTAAATAAACACTAAAAATGCCCACATTTTGTAGAAGTGGCCATTCGATAGGCTTCTATCACCTCAATGCCAAAATGTCGGGTGGGGCTATTATGTCTGCCGCTCCACAGGCACCATAATGTCAGTTATCATTATATTGAAACTTTTAAATATACCAGAACTACACAAATACGTATATACACGTAGAAGTCAGATCAACCACATACGCTACTACGCTGAAGTTGTAGTGCATTATCTATGGTGTACTATGTTGAGAAAAAACTGAAAGCAAAAAAGCTTCCTTCTAAATGATAGATTATTAAATTTAACATAATAAACTAGAATCTTAAGATGACAGAACACATACAAAAAACCTGCAAAAATTGAGGTAGGAGTCACCTAATTCAAAGATCATTTACTTAATTATAATTATTCATTAATTATAAAATTAATTGATAAAATCAAATATTTTTTTAATTAAACGTCCTCCGTATCTATCTATAACTATTTAGCATAGCAGTAACAGAAAAAGAGTTTCATTGGACCCTATAGATACTTTTTCAAGAATAAATTATATTTAAATAAATTATTCATTTAATAAAAAGCTGCTATTTTAAAAACATTTTATGAATTACACTCACCTTTATATTTATAATTTAGATTAAATTATTTTTATTAATAATGCAGTTTTATACACATTTATTTTATGAAAGTGTCATTTATACTGTTCATCCAAAATTAACAAAAATGTTAAAACTCTTTATATTTTTCTTATTTTATCTCATAAAATTTTTACTTATCCAATATAAACTTATTTTTTATACAGTATCAAGAGACATTTCTCATAATTTAGAAGTAATTATTTTGATTCCTATTTTTCCTTTAGTTTTACTATATATAAGGTCAATCCCAAGTTGTTAATTTTTTTAACTGTGTACAGAAGTCATTAAAATAAATAACTTCTTCAAAAAAACTCAAAAATGAAAAACAATCATTTATTCCAAAATGTTTTCAATACGGTCATGTAAAATTAAATAATGTGTAGAACTTTCGTCATGCCGTTGTAAAAACCATTTACAAAACTTGACATATAAACATTTCAAATGTGTTCTTTCTAAACTTACTTCATTTTCAATTTACCATACTAAAAATCAGTAGTTACTTCATACTACTTAAACTAGATACAACTGAATACCAGTACACAGTAACTAGTGATTCATAAGAAAACCAGAAAAAAAGAATTAAAACAACTTATTATTTAACTTAGCTTTTAATACAGAAATCCTGGACCGGGTTTAATTTTTTTAATTCTGTTACTTCCTTATATTCGAGTTTTTTGACAAAGGTTATTTGAAAATGATGTTTATTTTAACGATTTCTATACATAGTTAAAAAAAGTATTAACTTAGGATTCACCCTATATGCATAAATACTAAATTTGATTTTTTTTAACAAATTTCTTATTGCAAATTTTTCACTAGGTGGACAAAATAAAGCGATTTGGGAAGATGTCACAGGATCGACACCTCTGACATTTGTCAAAGATTGTGTGTCATTTACGACAACTGTGTCTGCCAGGTTTTGGTTGATGGACTGCAGAAATGTATCTGACGCTGCAAGGATGGCCACAGAACTATATAATCAGGTATAATCGAATCACTAAAGAAGTAATTCATTAGATTTTTTTAAATTATATTCTTTGCAGGCTATGCATGTTCCTTTCATGGCAAAGTTCGTAGTATTTGCGAAACGTGTATCACCATTAGAGGCTAGAATAAGAGTCTTCTGTATGACAGATGACAAAGAAGATAAGACTTTAGAACATCAGGAACATTTCACGGAAATAGCCAAGAGCAGAGATATTGAGGTAAATATTTATTTTATACAATTTAATCGACTTTCACTTGTCGAAATGACATGAATATCTTACGAAAGCGATATATTTTAATACTTCCAAGGTGAGTCTGAGATGAACATTGACAGGATTTCAATTCTTGATTTTCATGTTAGAAGATGGCCTTTTTATATAGATTGTTGACTAGTAGGAAGCTGGTGTTGTTTCAGCATGGCTTCAAAAGCAAGTCCATTCCTTCCTAATTAGGACAAATAAGTTTAAAACCGGTGGTAGGATAAAATTCAATACCCTGCGCGACATTACCCGAAAAATAATAGGTGTTTACTGTATGAGTCTTCATCTTATATATCAAAAGGTGTGTAGCAATTTTATTATAATCTACATTATATTTTGTAGGTGTTGGAAGGTAAAGACGTTTTCATGGAGTTTGGTGGTAATATCGTACCAGTTCTACAATCTGGTGATCAACCAAAATTAGGTTTTAAAGCATTCAGAGAAAATCGTTTGGCTTTCACTATACGACTAAGAGATCAGGTAAAACAAACTTTCTATTTAATTTGTTATTTAGTTAGCTATAATTGTGCAAATTGTATTTGTAAAACTAGGACGACGACGCAGCTGGACGTGTTATTTTCATGAGCGATGCTAAAGTAGCAAGAGGAGAACCTAACCAAACGCCATTGTGCACTCTTAACCTTGCTTTACCGAAAGATGTCATTACAAGCAGAGACTCTCAATCAGATCTACTATCTTTAGAAAAAAATAACAGTTATCTTTTACACGGAGGCATCAGTAAGTCATAGATTATTAAAATTTAACCAGTTTTGATATTTAACCCACTATTTTTAGGTAAACCTGATACCATTCATAGAGCAGATTTTAGACTTTCCGATATTTGCAACTTACTGGATGAAGACTGGGAGAAACTAGCATTGGAATTGGATATTCCACCTTCAGATATTGATCTTATCAGAGAAGAATATCCTGAAAATCAACCTCAACAAGCCATGATAATGTTTAGGTTGTGGTTGAGACAAAAAGCCAACAAAGCTACAGGTAACATTAATTTAAATGATTTTTTCTATAAAGTATGACATTTAACTTTTTTTATAGGCAACCAACTAGAACTAGCACTGAATAAGATTGGAAGACAAGACATTGTAGACAAATGCATTTGCAACGTCGAATTGGTGACTGATGATATGGAGAAAGCGCTAGCTAAAATACATTTGGATCAATCCGGTTTTGAAAATTTGAAAGAAGAATTGGGTCCATCTCGAGATACGTCTCTGAGACGTGACACTCACGTTGACAAATCTTATTTGAGCAGTCAGGACGAATTGGATAGAAGCTCGAAAATAGGTTAGTAGTATTCTTTTACTTAACACATGCATTTTAACATTGGATGTAAGTTATCCATCAAATTTTAATGGCATGAAGCTACAAATTGGTATGTTGGTTCAATTTGATGTCCTGATGACTCCCTTTAAGATGCTCCCGGGCTATCTGACTTGCATTTTATTAGAGGTGCACAATGATATAAATAAAAATCAGTATTGCTGTTCATTGGTCAGCGCGTCATTTGAGAACGGCTGGATCGATTTAGCTAATGATTTTTTTTAAATGTTCGTATAAATAGTCTGAATAAGGTTTTTAGGGAAAGAAAAATTGAAAAAGTGCTTTTTTCTATAGGATTTTTTTTTTTGAACAATGGATATTCGTATTTCTTTTTTTGTTTCATTCGTTATAATCCTGGAAAAGTTTTCAGGAAAAAAATTGGGAAAATTACAAAGGAAAGGCGAAAAATTCGAAAAAACTGCAAGAATCATATTTTTATGCATTCTCGATCATAATCGTCAGTTTACAAAGTCTCATTCAATTGATAAGTGAATTCATAGTTTATTATTCACATTTTCACGTTCAATTGTAACGCCTTGCATGAAAAAGATAATAATTTTCTTATATTCATCTTTATAGACTCTAGCGGCCGCAAGGTGGTACGATCGTACCTTCGACTGTAATTTTGTGAAGTGGTAGGCGGGACCATCAGGAAGTGTCATCTTCAAGGATTTCTTTTAAAACCCCTGCAAACGAGACGTCAGACATATCAAAGCTGTAAAAAATATCGGCTAAAAAAAATGTACAATATACAGATTTGATTAGATAACTCACTTGGCATGACTTGTTTGCTCAGTTTGTTAGGCATTGAACATGCAGTCAAATTTGCATTTCGTGACGGGGTTCAATTTACGATGGATTATATAGGTGTTTGAAGATTATTTTAGAACGAGCTTAAACGCCGTCTTGCCAGAACTAGCACATCAAATTTCTGTCTAGAAATCTCGACAGTCACTGTCGTGGATGGTCTAGTGAAAAAGGCACTTGTCTAGCAAACAAGGATATCCGGTTTGGATCTCTAGCTGCGACAATGTTTTGTTCAAATCTCCAAGTATTTGTTTCCACCTTTGGCGTTCGGGGATGGTCTTAATAAATCGTAGGGGGATTTTTTAGATTTGGTTTCGAATTTTCAAATTATTTTTTATATATTTTAAATACATTTTATTTAGACTAATCATTGATACATAAAATGTATTTAAATAAATAAACAACAAAAGTATGTATTTTTTTTAATTTTCGTACATTTTCAAAATAAAAAAAATGTTGTCTGATGTCTCATTTGCAGAGGTTTTAAACTAAATTCTTGCAGATGACACTTCCTGATGGTCCTGCCTACCACTTCACAAAATTTCTATTATCATCATAATCAATGAAATTAAGTAAACCATCGTTAATTTTATACGTTAGATTAGGACAGTATTTTAAAATCCATTCAACAGATTGCGATTTTTTAACAGTCTTGCACGAAAACTGAAAAAACAGATTGTAAAATTGAAAACTGCAAATTTTCCTATGGCTAATGAAGTTGCGGTCTCACAGAGAAATGTAAACAAAGTAGAAGCAATGAAAAAAGATAAATTTCATAATGATATTTTTGACATTACATATAATCTCTACATTCTAATTTGGAATTTATTTGCATTATCTACTTGAAATATTTATTCATATTTCACGTCTAGGTTCCACAATCAATTTTTATCGTGTGCCCAGCGAAGCGGGTATCAGCTAGTCTGAAATAAAAAATTCTTGTCCAGTTTTCATCTAGAGGATATTTGTGACAAAAAAAGCCTGGGAGATTACTACCCTAACATTTATAGTTTACCCTAAAACCGTAACAGACAAAGACACAAATATCGCTCCGTACACCGATGCCATTAGTTGTAACAAATACTGAACAATCCATAAAATAATTAATTTTAAATGTTCAAGAAATGTATAAGTATTACTCATTACTGATTTTTGTTATAATTAATATCTTTTATTAGTACTATGATTGTATATTATCTATAATTTGCCACAACTTACAACTCTACTACTTACTCTATTTTGATTCTGCTAAAAACTAGTAAGGTAAAATTGAGATATGACAACACGGTTCACTCTTAATCATTATTTGTTTGAGTATGGAGCGTCTGGAATAAAGGTGTCTTATGGTTGAAGGCCACGCCCTCATAGTTTACACTGCTTTCATTTCGCAAGCGCTATGGGCCTATAGACTCTTTTTGCGCGCGTTTATGGTCGCTTATAGCGGAGAGATAAAAATCGCGGCATTTTCTTAGCACATTGTTTCTTATGGGCGCTTTTAGGCCTCTTTTATGCTTGCGTTTTTTTGAAGCTTGACGTGGGGCATGATAAAAATCGCGGCGTGATAAAAATCGCGGCGTTTTTAGATGAAACAAAAATAGAACAAGTTTCATCGTATATTGTCGCGTGCCGCTTTCAAATTTGACACACGTTGTTCTACAACGGCATCGGCAGTGTAAAATGAACCATGTGTTATGTATTTCGTATACAATCATACAATTCAAAAGAGACGCCAAAGACTGGGATGTTTGTACTGCTCTGATGATGAATCCCATAACCATGGTTTTTCTTTTTTTCCCTACGTCGATAGTAATTTTAGAATCGAAATTTTCTATATTTCTTTATCTACACATCTACACAACTCTGCATACTGGCAAAATGAGGATGCCTAGACAACAAAATAATTCGGCAGTAGCGATAGTAAACGCGTTGCATAAAAACAGCAATTCAAATCAACGTAATTCTGAAACGCTTGTTGCGACGCGTTTTGTAATACCAGGCGACAGGATTGGAGAACGCGACGTCACAGGTGGAAAGCAATCAACGTCGATGCATAAAAAAGCACGTAAGAAATAATAGGCTTCGGAAACACCGCTATTTTTATCGCTCCGCTATAAGCGTGCATAAAAGAGTACTTATGCATTGGCGGCGATCAGCCGTTCTTCGCCTGTGTCGCCGCGATTTCAAATCCTATCGCCTGGTATTACAAAACGCGCCACCGCAACAGGCGTTTTAAAATTACGTTGATTTCAATTGCTTTTTTTATGCAACGCGTTTATTATCGCTGCTGTCGAATTATTTTGTTGTCTAGTTTATTTTACCAGTCTGCAGAGTTGTGTCGATATGAGAAGATCTATGGAAAATCGATTCTGAAATTAATATCGACGACGTGGTGAAAGAAAGAAAAATCGTGTTTCTGGGATTCATCATCAGAATAGTACAAACATCCCATCGTTTCTGGGGTCTCTTTTGAATGATATGATTATATACGAAATACATAACACATGGTTCACTTTACACTGCCGTTGTGGTATGATGTGCACTACCAGCTAATCAAATTTGAAAGCGGCACCCGACAAGAAACGTTAAAACTGGTTTCATTTTTGTTTCATGTAAAAACGCTGCGATTTTTATCGCCCCACGACAAGCGACAAAAAACGCGTGCATAAAAGATGGCTATCGGATGGTCATATTGAAACCACTATATACCTGAATAAATACATTTTACAATAGAATTTTGTTCGAGTTGATAGATTGACAATTAAAATCATGGTATAAAAAATGCCTATCGGATGGTCATATTGAAACCACTATATACCTGAATAAATACATTTTACAATAGAATTTTGTTCGAGTTGATAGATTGACAATTAAAATCATAATTAAAATCGGCTGATATTTGTAAATTTCATCAAAGTTACCCTTTATTTTGTTACACTTATAAAACCTATTAGAAAAAAATTCTATAACTACAATTTTCCAAGAGTAATATTATTATAAAATATTTATTTACGACATTATGACTGGTGATAGTGACATCGTTGTCATAGTAACTTGTTTTGTTTAGAAATAAATAGGTGTTACCAACTTCATTTTGAGTTCAGGACTATCACTGTCCATTGAGGGCGGAGTTGTCACAATTTTTCTTGATAGCTCTTTACTAAAATGACAGTAAAATTTGTTTTGCAGTAAGTGTTGAAACTCAAAATGCCTTAAACAAACCATCTGCCCCACCTGCAGAGAACATTCCGTCTACAGAGATGATTATAACTAACGAAATCGAACCTACGACTCCAATAAAATCGGAACACGATGCGATACAAGAGATAACGCATCAACTGAACCAATTACATTCTACCCCTAAAATGGGGGATCCACATGCACACACTCCACCCCCTAGTCCTGCCGAATTTGGTGTAGCCGAACCAGTCGTGAACAATAAACACGTTCACGAGAACGAAACGAAAGGTGAGTTTTCTAAACGTTAAATGGAAGTCAATTAATTTTATTTTTTAGCTGCTTCTTATTTTAATTTATGCAAAAGAATAACATTCCAAAACTCTCCCAATTGGTTATAGTTTTGGTAATTTTTTACGGTAGGATTATAATATTGCATCATTATAAAATGAGGTCAGGATTACACCGAAATTTAAAACTAATCAAATTCATTGATTGATTGTTACTTACTATATTGAATTAATTTTTTAGTGTTCCGTACCCAAATTTTTTATCTTAAGGGGAGACGTTTTTTTGACACTATCGTGAAGGGTATTAAATGAAAGCTCTTTGAAGCACGATTTCAAAAGTTTATAATATATTCATTTGCGTTATTTTTTCTTTAACAGTTTTTAGAAAAAACTGCACGATTTGTTCCTTTTTATATTATCTTTTGTGTTAACTATGTTTAATCAAAATAACAGATGAAGGTAGAACTTTCTTATTTTATTATTTAAGTACGTAAATTATCAGACAAAATTTGGAAAGCCGTTAATACTGATGCAATATTGGTCCAGCTTTTTAATCCCGTTTACAAAACCTATCACTATAACAGTAGGTCATGCCCATTTTAATATTTTGCTTTTTAACACTTGCTGGTAAGGGTTTTTATTTATTTATTATTTTCCTCTTATTTTCTTTCTACCTGGAGTAGTGCTTTGGGGTCTTTTGGTTTTTATTTGCACGCACCATATTGGCGCATGTTAGCTAAGTGACACAATTTTCCCTATCAGTAGATTGTATTATTAAATATTTTCAAAAGGAACTCCAAAACGCGAAGAAGAACTTTTTGCGTCCACTCCTAAACACTTCAGGATCGAAGAGCCTAAAGTAGATCCGATTGCGAAGCTAAAGAAAAACGTCCACGACACGTTAACTTTCCTTCACCAGGAGAGAAACGATTTTCTTCCTGAGGACGATATCATCATTCCGAGACGAAAAGATGATCACATTTCAGTTAAAATTAACCTAGATAGTATTCAGCTGAAAACTCCCAAGCGTTCGACGAGCGATTTCGACGAGAGTTTTCATGAAATGGTAGAAAGAGAAGTAGATGAAGTTATTAGTGAAGCAGAAGAGGTTGTTAACAGTAGATTAAGTAACTCAGAAACGTTGTATGATGAAAATTTTAGTAAACCCCTTGAACATTTAACGAACAATAGAGACTTTGTTGAAGAAAAAGGTGATAGTATCTTTGACGATATAAGAACTAACACGGAAGATTCTTTAGATAACTTAGAAAGTCTTAAGGAAGATTCTATCTCAGTAATACAAGAGAAAAGCGAGGAAGCGTTTAAATTTTTAGAAAACGAAGCTTCAAGCCCGATCATTAGTAAACACGATATTGATGAACAATTCTTAGAAAAAGAAAGGGACGATACGTTACAAGACGATCTTTCTACAAAATCACCTAAAACTCCCAGAAGTTCCATACCTGTAGCGAAACCAAGAAAAAGTGTAGAAAAAGATTCAGAAATAGAAAGGGCTATTTCACCTACTGATCCAGACCTCTTATCAAAAATACCAGTGATCAAGGGAGCTAAAGTAAAAACAATAAAGAAACATTCTAAAGATCCCCTTAAAGAGTTTGTTGCTCTGTCTAGAGATGTCAATTGGGATGACGACGATGAAACTACTAAAATAATAGAAACAGTAACAACAACAGATCCTATTATTAAAACGACAGTAACAAGGATAACCACAGAAGCTAACAGCGATAATTCAAAAAGTAAAATACCCATTTTGCATCCGGATGTTCTAAATTTATCATCGATAAATGATTTGGAAACATCGCCTAAAAGTAAGATTCCAGTTTTAAAAACTGAAAGTACAAGAATAAGTTCACCGGAAACAGTAATTGTAGAAAAAACTCTAATTTCACCTGATACAATGCGAATTCTAGAAACGACTACTACGTCTACTTCAATTCAGTCTCCCGGTTCGAAAGTGTCGACAAAGAGTAGTACAATAGATTCAGAATCTGATGATGATAGTCGCAGAAGTCCTTTAAAAGGGATTTTAAAGAAGACGCCTACCAGAACAGTGGGCAGTTCGAGCGGATCTGACGTTGCTTTACATGAAGAGGGCGCCGAGCTAAGTGAGGACGAATCAGGTATGAATCTTGTTTTAATATTTTATTCTTCTTTGTAACACTTCTATTCTTTATTAGTTGCTTTAAGCAATATTTTTCGACATGTGTTAGATTACTATTTTTTCAGCTTCCGCAAAAATTGCTTAAATAGATTTCGAGTAGCCTCACACAAAAATTTAAGAAAAGTTTACAGATATTAGGTAATAAAATTAGTTTGAGGTTTGATTTTTTTTGTACTTTTATCGATTTAGCATGAATTTTGCGTAGGTTTATAATAAGTAAATTAAAATAATTTGAATCTTTTTTCTTACTAATAATTAATCTGTTTTTCATCCAAATGTCTTAACTACTTCAAAATTCCAGTTATTTTATTTTTTTTTTTTAATTTTGCTAAACATATTTCTATACCAATAATTTAGACAATAATTTAGAATATCTAATGAAAATCATTTTTAACTCGATAGAATAACTAAACTGTTACCAAAAATTAATAAAAAAATATTAGTAGATGTAGTCAAATCTTTCTATAATTACATTTACGCTATAAAATAGATCAGCTGAAATAAGTCTGAAGAAATATGTCATTTGATTGGCAGAATGTAAACATTTTTTTATCATTAGAGAGATTTGCAAATTTCTATAACGCCATCCACTAATAATGCCAACGTAATTAGAGGCAAATTCCATGCTACAATAAAACTTATTGCAAACCTGAAATTTTGACATTTGAATCCTTGTCTTTATACTTATTTTTAACCTCTTTTTAAAGACTTTAAATTAGAGTTCATCTTTGTTGTTGTCTATAATATTACATAATATGGAAGAGTCATTATAAATTACCATTTTAGGCAATTTAGATGATATTATATATACTATATTAAAAAACTTCGAACTGATACGAATGTTGGCGAGCGCACCAGAAAGTTATAAACTCGCCACTATTTGGTGCTGTTAAACATCCACAGTTAAGGACAAGCACTATCTATAATAAAGTCGGCTCTTTAACTTAAACAATCTGGGCATGCTCAGATGTCCAAATAAAAGCGGCGCTAATAGTGATTGACCTTAGTGAACTTGCAATATCTCTATATTCACTGAACTTCATATTTTACATTTTTGAGTGCATCGAGATATAATGAAGTAGAGACGACATAAACACTATTTTGTGATGGACGCACTTAGCGATGTCATGACTGATGGAAAAGTGTAATCAAAATGGCAACTTAGTCTTACTTTGATTTACTTGAAGTTAATAATTCTTTATTTGAAGATTGACGGAATGAAAAAGTTTTTATATCATTAAGCTATTTAAAAAAACAGCGTTTATTCTAACCAAAACTGACTAGCTTCACTTGCTCGAGTTTGAGACATTACGTAAAAGTTTAATGCTAAGATACGGGCACTTTTAGTAACGTCATAGCATCTCCTCTTTATTCTATCTCAATGATTGAATGCAAAGTATTCTTCTTTTCAAGTCCTCATATCATTGTACTATTCAGCTTCAAGAAAATCCGTTTGAACAATATAACGTTACTTGGAATAATTATTGTTATAATTAACTAAAATATTCCCGGTTATAGTTCTAATTGCAGCTTGCATGCGGTCTGAAATGCTCTAGTACATAGATTTGAAAGAAGTTGGTTATTTGTCCTTATTCACCGTGACCTTTTCTGATATATTATGGGACTTGGTAGCTTTGATAGTGGCTGTATGTAGTTACATGCTTTTGGCTTTTCTTTACCTAGGCAGGTCTTCAAACTGGCACAGGACTTGGATTGAGGTTTCCTTCTTCAAGAACCTGCACAATGTTGCTTCTTCTCAGTGGCGTAGCTACGGGGGATCAAAGGGGGGCAATTGCTCCCTCTGTCCCTGTAGAATTGGCGCTCCTATGGCACCAATTCACCTCCGTTTCGATTGAAAATTTTAAAGAAAAATAATTGCTGAAATATTAGTAATATTGCCAAAATAACAATAACAAATAAGGAAGATTGGATGTATTATTTTAATGTAATCAGTCTTAATAATTTATAGGCAGTAACATTTTTATTACAGCGTTACTCTGCGGAAAGTAATCATGCCGATACAATTGACATATCAAACAATTTGATGTATCCAACACATTACTTTGTTGTCTAGTTATTATAGGCTTTTTCTGGTTATTTTGTACAACCTATTGTATTACCCCTGTAAATGTTTAGAAGATGAACTAAATACATACATTTTTTTTAAGAAAGGTTTCTGAAATTTGTAAACTTGTACTCTGCATCCGCAGATTCATTTTATCTCAACGAGCTAAATAATTTTAACATACCGATGTCGTGGCCAAGCATATGACGGTGCCAATTTGGACCTCTTTCTCATAGTTGTCTGTGAAACAACGCCGTTTACAATAACTAATGATGTTAACAAATGTTTAAATATTTAACGTTTTTGTACCCATTTTTGGTAATATATGATCATTTTTATTTTTTTCAGAATGTAGTACTGCTTGAAAGTAGTTAGTTTTTTCTTTAACAAAAACTACCTAAACAGTGTTATGCGCCTTTCTAATATCTTGTCCCCGCCGCCATTAAAGCCTGGCTACGCCACTGGTTCTTCTGTTGGATTGATGACACATATGTGCCTTCTTAGGCGACGGTAGATCTTTTGTAAACTTGACCGACAGTTCCTTAATGAACTCTAAAGCTTAATTTATAACCGCCGTAACGTAACTTAAGAACTTAACGTAAGAAGTTGAAATATTGAATTTACGTATATGTATTTATAATGTTCGTAACGTAACTTAAAAACTTAACGTACCGTAGAAAGTTCGCCAACTTTTAACTTAACAACTTAACTTAAGACCTTACGGTTAGACAATGAGATAATTCTGAGTTCAGCATGTGATAACTGTCAATTATTCTTTTTATTTTTTTTTTATAAATGATTAGACAAATACCATTTGTAAACTATCATTCTTCTTTTTGATGGACATACATTATCATGAATGATTTGTGTTTATGTTATTGGGGATAAACTATTTATGAGATATGAGTGTTGCTGCATATACATATAAACATCAAGTCTAAAACTGAAATAAGACACAAAACTAGTTTGCTAGGAAAGATTAAACTCTCATTATTGCTCAAAAACAATCAACATCTTCGGTAAAATATTCTGTTTTATTATATTTTTATATTATTGCTTTTAAAGTAGTTAATATATTCTTTCTATATAGCAAAATCATAATTTATAAGTTTTATTTAGAGGTTAGGTACATACATAGTTTACGCTTATTTATTTCATAAGGTTGTCAGTAATTTAATAATCTCTGAAATCAACACGCATGCTCAACTCTTACGTCGTTATTTTCATATGTTAGGTTAAGTTTCTACGGCGTTAAGTTAAGTTACGGTGGTTATAAATTATACTTTAGACCTGTCTCAACCCTAGATGGTTGTTGCACCATTCTTTAGACTCTTCAAATCCATTTTTTAATGGATGCCTTAGCAACTCCTCAGAAGATGTAGGGTCCTATCCCCTGCCTTAGCCGAGTCTTCTCGAGCTAGTTCGTCGACCTTTTCATTGCCTGATATTCTTCGTGGCCTGGTACCCAGGCTAAGGTTACTTTGTGTTGACTACTTAGCTCTGCCAGCTCTTCTAGGCAGTCTTTCACCAGTCATGATTTGATTTCTGGTGAGAAAAATGCATTTAGAGCTGCTATCAGAAGCTGCTGGCAATAGTTTTGCCTGATATATAGTTCGGCCTGGAGCACCTCCTAGACTCGGCAAAATCGTTTGTGTTCGACTTGGGTTCAAAGATTTCAGCACCGGCTCCTTTCTTGTTTTTTAAACCCTCTGTATACCAGACGAGTTAAGCCTGTTTCAGGATTCTTGGGATTTAAAAATTTGCTTCAAATTTATATGTGATTATGACTGTATCAGTAGGTATTCCTAGAATCTTATCCTTTTTTACTTGCTGGTATAGCTTGGTATGGTCAACGCTATGTAGTTGGCTTAGTGGGTTTTGTATCTGCATTAGCCTGTGAATGACAGATCTGGTTTCTCCTTGTATGAAGATGTGCAGTAGCGTAAGGTTTAACAGTACCTCTATTTCTGCAGTTGCTGTAGTACGCATGGTCCCTGTCACTCAAACTGAATGCCGGTAAGTTGACCTATTGCACTTGCTTGTGCAGTTTTGGTTACCGGTTACCCACGCTACTGCGCCATAGTTTATCACGGGTCTCATCACCCTTGTGTTAAACCATATAGTCATTTTGGCAATACCAGTACATAATATTGTTCTAAATTGTAATACTGATACATACAGTGTGTCTACTTAAGTTGGAACCATATGGAAAACTTTTTATTATTCATTTTTCCAAAATAAGTTAATGTTTATAGAAAGTTCAGCATGATCTAAAACCTAAAATGAAATTAATATATATCAAAATGTATCATAATCATATACGGGGTATGTTATGTTGAGAATGGGGTGTTAATACACTGCGACCTAACAGATCTATTGTGCCCTCTTCTGTCGCCACTGCACTAAGGAAATGTCTCAATGCCCATAGCGACCCTTCCAATCCTATTTTCTCAAGGAAGTGTAAGATTTGAAGTGGCTTCAAGTTAGGTAAATCTCCCTCTTCTATTTGATATCCTCCTAGATATACGAGTAGTGCCCTTGGAATATACGGGCTATATAATAAAATATAAAGTTGGTGTAAGAATAAAGTACTTCTTTTTTGGCAATATCAAAAATTATCATAAAGATAAGTTGATGAGAATTAAAAATTGTGTTTAAATATGCAATATGTATGTATCCTTAAAATCAGGTTTTGGTATTTTTTCTACACACAATCTTAATCCTAACAATTTCATTGTCAGTACATCCTAAATTATGTCGATATACATTTTCAATGTGACTGTAGAGAAAAGTTTGTAAAAAGTATAAACCACCGTTTTTTAACGTAGTTTTTAATTATAAACAACGTTTCTTAACAACAATTTTCGATATTGTCAATATAGGTACTTTTCTTG